AATTATGCATCTATCAATAAGTCAGAACCGGTGATGTAAAATAAAACGGTTGTTGTTGATCTCTTCTTTATTTTTACCACTTATTACATATAAAATCTAAACTTTGTTGACATAATTTCAATAAATTATTCTTTTTATCAAAGGTCTTGGTTGAGATGAAAAAGTTAGACTAGTTAACTCTAAACTTTTTCATCTCAACCAGGACCTTTGATAAAAAGAATAATTAAGTGAAATAAGTAATTTGGTCAATTAGAACACTAAACATAAATGGATTTGTTGACGTAGTTTAAAAGTAGGAAAAGCCAATTTTTCAAATCTTCCAATAACGTTGAATTTGAATAAAATCCAGAGGAGTTACGAATATTTAATGAAATATTGGCGAATCAAGCCTAAAAATGTTAATTTTTTGTTCACTATAAAAATTCGGATTTAAAAGTTTTATATTGTGATTAAAAATATCCAAATTGCTTTTTTTCTAAAAAGTTTTGTTTGCCTCTTTACTAGCAAAGTCTTTTCGTTTTTGTAACTTTTCATATAAATATTCTTATTTAGTAAGATCTTATGATTCCTTTTCTCTACGACCAAAAAAATGAAATCGACTGCTATACAACAATGATATACAGTAAATGTATACATACGTAAAAAAAGTACGTTTATTATTTTATTTTTTCTAGAATCATAGGGCAATTAGATCGGAAGCGTTTCATTTTTATGTCCGTATCTTCGCTTTGTTAATAAATAAATAGGTAAAGTATGCCGATATACAGGAGGGGGTTAAAAGCCCACCTACACTTTTTAGCTGTCCATTTTTAACTGAAGCAGGTGAATGTGTGTATCTCTTCTCTGTCTGTCTAACTTTCTCCCCCCCCTCTCACTCTCTCTCTCTCTCTCTCCCTTTCTCTCTTTCTCACTTTCACTCTCACTATCACTCTCTCTCACTCTCTCTCTCTCACTCTTTCTCTCTCTCTCTCTCTCTCTCTCTCTCTCTCTAATTCCCCTGTATCTGTCTGTCACTCCTTCTCTCTCTTTTGTTGTGAATGGTTATTAATGTCTGTGTTTGAATTAGGCAAAATAACGCTGAGGTAATGTAAGTTTCGTATTCTTTCTTTTGTTTGTAAAATTGATCGATTTTTCGTAGTATTGAAACACTTTAATACACGTATTAAAATAGTTAAAAAGAAGGTAGAATTGACCTTAGACTCATTTTCTTATATATACTGGCGGCGTAAACAACAGATTAAGGGTACCAAAACAAAAAATATTGGTATTTAACAAATCATTCATAGTTGAACCAAAACGCAATTTGAACAGTTTAAATGTAAATTTTAATGTCGAACAAGAAAACTCAACAGCAAAAAATTGTTGACTGTTTGTTAAACAACTTCCTATTGAATATGTAAATACGTATTGTGTTATAAAGACACATTTGATGCACTATATAATGTACTATTTATTTAATCTTATTGTTTAACTGCTAGGATTGAAACACTCTTAAATCGCTCAATTTTGTTATTTAGTAAATTGTAAAGTTTTAAAATGTATGCAAAATTGAAAAATTTAAACAAAAATGGTTAATATAAAATTATGTGTAAGATATATGTGTAAATAATAAATATAAATAGTGTGATGTAGGTTAGTTGTACTAGTACAATATGTACATTTATATAATTTATTATATTTAAATATTTAATTTTATAATCATATGAAATATTTGTTGATATAATTAAATATAAACCAAGCATAAAACAAAAAAATATTTAGTGTAATGTAACTCGATAAAACACTGTATACCTTATATACAAAAGGAGGAAAATGTCCTAAAAACGTACACATATTATAAATAAATGTAAATCAAGTCAAGTCTTTTATCCCTCTCTCTCTCTCTCTCTTTCTCTTTCTCTTTTGACCAAATTCTCCATTTCTATGCCTTCAAAGGTCTTCGTGACCTAAATTTGCGAGATTTCTTAACTACAACGATATTCATTCAACCATTCATTCTCGCTCTTTCTTTCTTTTTTGGTCTCTCGCTTTTGACCGAATACCGGCACTCAAAATAAAACCTCATTCAATTCAATTTTCTATCTCTCTATCTATTTATTTATCTATCTACATATCTATCAAACTATCTATCTGTCTATCTATCTAGCTACCTATCTACCTATGTATCTTACTCTTTTTTGACCAAATTCTGCCACTTTGAATAAAACCTCATTCAATTTAATTTTATTTCTCTTTCTTTCTTTGCTCTGTCTATTGACCTAATGTTGCAACTGCAAATAAAACCTCATTCAATTCAATTTTTTCTCTCTTTCTCTCCCATTCGATCTCTCGTTTTCTTCTCAATATATTCCACTCTCTCTCTTTTTTTCTTTGTCTCTCTCTTTTGACCAAATTCCGGCACTCAAAATAAAACCACATTCAATTCAATTTCTCTCTCTCTCTTTTTCTCACTTTCTCTATCTATGTATCTATCTATCAAACTATCTATCTGTCTATCTATCTACCTATCTCTCTTACTCTCTCTGCTCCCTTTTTTGACAAAATTCTCCCACTTTGAATAAAACAATTTTATTTCTCTCTCTCTCTCTCTTTTGATCTCGATTTTTCTTTGCTCTGTCTTTTGACCAAATGCTGCGACTACAAATAAAACCTCATTCAATTCAATTTTTTCTCTCTTTCTCTCTATTAGTATCTTTATCTCTCTCCCATTCGATCTCTCGTTTTCGTCTCAATATATTCCACTCTCTCTTTCTCACTCTCTCTCTCTCACTCTCTTTCTCTCACTCTCTCTCTCTTTTTTCTTTGTCTCTCTTTTGACCAAATTCCGGCACACAAAATAAAACCACATTCAATTCAATTTCTCTCTCTCTCTTTTTCTCACTTTCTCTATCTATCAAACTATCTATCTGTCTATCTATCTATCCATGAAACTATTTATCTATCTATCTACCCATCAAACTATCTATCTGTCTATCTATCTACCTATCTCTGTTACTCTCTCTGTTCCCTTTTTGGACCAAATGCTCCCACTTTGAATAAAACCTCATTCAATTCAATTTTATTTCTCTCTCTCTCTCTCTCTCTCTCTCTCTCTCTCTCTCTCTCTTCTTTGTCTCTCTCTTTTGACCAAATTCCGGCACTCAAAATAAAACCACATTCCATTCAATTTCTCTCTCTCACTCTCTCTCTTTTTTCTTTGTCTCTCTCTTTTGACCAAATTCCGGCACTCAAAATAAAGCCACATTCATCAATTTCTCTCTTTTTTTTTTCTTTGTCTCTCTCTTTTGACCAAATTCCGGCACTCAAAATAAAACCACATTCAATTCAATTTCTCTCTCTCTCTCTCTTTCTCACTTTCTCTATCTATGTATCTATCTATCAAACTATCTATCTGTCTATCTATCTATCTAACTACCTCTCTTACTCTCTCTGCTCCCTTTTTTGACCAACCTCATTCAATTCAATTTTATTTCTCTCTTTCTCTCTCTCTCTCTCTCTCTCTCTCACTCTCTCTCTCTCTCTCTCTCTCTTTCGATCTCGATCTTTCTTTCTTTGCTCTGTCTATAGATCAAATGCTGCGACTACAAATAAAACCTCATTCAATTCAATTTTATGTCTCTCTCAATCTCTCTTTCGATCTTGATTTCTCTTTCTCCTCTCTGTCTATTGACCTAATGCTGCGACTGCAAATAAAACCTCATTCAATTCAATTTTTTCTCTCTTTCTCTCCATTAGTATGTTTATCTCTCTCCCATTCGATCTCTCTCTTTCTTCTCAATATATTTCTCTCTTCCTCTCTTTTTCTTTCTCTCTTTCCTTCTCTCTCTCCTCTTTCAATCCCTGAATTGTAAAATAACACATTTATATGCCAATGTTTATATAGAAAGAGTTTAAAATATGAATAAATTTCAAAACGATTTATGCTTACATTTATGTAAGTTATATAATTAAAAGACAGGTTATAACAAGTGGATTAAAACATATATGTGAAGATATATACATATGTATAATATGTTTTCATTTGCAATTTTGTTTATATTTAATTTAATAGAAATGAAAATGTACGATATAAACTAAATAAGATTTTTTTTTAACTTTTTCAGATATATCGGTAGCATGTTATGGATAAGGTTTTGAGAAAAGTGTCAGTCGTCAGTATCAGAGATCAACATTGCTGACAGATCGGACGGTTTTCAACTCTGTACCATCATCATTGACCGTCCGTTTCAATAAGGCTTGTTGATCTGTTGACAAGTGTCACAACAGCAGGACATTTTCAAGAAAATTCGACTGTCTTTCTACACGTAACAAGGAAGGGCTAAACAATGTTTTGTCCAAATCCATAGTACTGATTCATTTGCTACAAAGATTTGTATCGAGTATTGGCTAAATTTTACGAATTAATGCTCTGTTTGTTTAACTTCAACTTGCTCCCATGCTTTTACCGGCAATCTTTGGGACAAAATGTATGCGCACACTTTTCTTGTTTTCCATAGTCGATTTGCGGTTGCGAAACGGCTTAATATAGAGAAACTCCCCTCAACGTTTATAATAATTACACTCGTTTGCCAAAGGCCATTACTTGAGTAACAAACGCGACGCCGGCCTCAAAAATAAATTGTAATCCACTGTGGTCAACGATCAAACAAGGCGATCCTTGAAAACGGCGTTTAATATTAATTTTCATGTTTTGAGTATATAGGGCTAGAAGGATTTTTTTTAAATATTCGCGCGAGATATGTTTAACATGTCTTTTCTTTTGATTTTGATTTATTTTTAACTCTTGTTTTTAAAATCCTTCGGTATATTCATTTCCTATATACAATCTCTTTTGGCAAATTTGTTTTTTTGAAAATATTTTTTCTGGGCTGAACATGTGCGATCAAAACTTAGCAGGCCTGTTTTGAACGAAGTATCACTGGCAAATCAAGATGGCCTTTCTCGACTGTACATGGCTTAAGTGGGAAAAGAGTAGATAAAGACATAAGTGAACTACTCACCCCCGACCGGGTCGCTCTCGTCCACTTTAATCATTTTAATTAGAGCTGAAAACAAGACATACAATTAAGACATATCGTTATAGCGAAAACACCTGGCATCGCAAGTCGACAATGCCCACGGTTTGCTAAATTGTTTGAAACGTCTCATTCCGAGGTTATTGTCGAAAAGCGATCGGGTTGAACTTGAATTCGTGCTTACAGCCTGTTAATGAAGATTTGGCCGAGGTGGCAAGAGACGCGTTTCGACCCACTGGCAAAGAAGCACTGCTGAGGCTGGGAGTCGGATTTATATTTGGCTTTGGCTCTACTCTCTTATGACGTAGCGATGGCCGCGGACGCGACTCCCACCTCCAGCGTAAACATTTTTTGCCGATTTTTTCCTCATCATCATATACAGCGTTGAGAAATAACTATGTCCATTTTTTGGCTTCGGGCGGGCTTAATTTCCGACGTTGGCTAAATCTGTTGCGTTCTTTATAGGCGGCATAGCCGATATGTTTTTATTGAAGAAAATTTAGGTATTTTTTTACCATTGTGATCTTTGAAAAAACTATGAGTGGAAAATTGCGTTTCTCGACTGCGTTCTTTGTATAGACGACATTTCAGGAAGGGGGGGTCTATTTCCGAAATATTTTCCAAAATAACACAAAGATAACACAAAACAAGATAATTTTTTTAAATTTTTTTCTCTATATTCTCTATTTTCTTTAAAGTTTCAATTTACCCATAGGATTTCAGGTGTAAGTGAAATTATATTGGGCGAAACAGGTGGGCGAAGTCAACATGTTTTTCTCCTGATTGACGATATGTGACCTTAGATGTTATGGAGGTAAAAACGTAAATATAAACTTGGTTAACAGCTGTATTTTCGTCGTTGGATCTGATATGGGCCTAAAGTACCAACTTATTTTTAAAATATATCCGTTCATGATATAAACAAACATACTTATAATTAGATTTCTTCATGAGGTCTGCGGAGTGATGAACCATGGTATGAAGCATGGTCGTTTTCATAGTTCCTCACACAGCATTTCTCAAAAAGAAATCGTACATCCCATCCGTTAGACAATGCGGTAACTGTTTAAGATTTTTCCATTCGGCAGCACCGCATAGTAAAAGAATGCCCCAAAACACCAGAAGAGCTACGTGCATTCATTGTGGCAAAAACCACCTCGCTGATAGCAGTGCGAAGTGTTCAAGGGAGCGAATTAGGAAAACAGAAAAAATACTCTGAAACTACTTCGATAGTTACAAAAAACAAATTCAGTATCCTTGATTTCTTAGATAATAAAGAGGAAGATCAGCCATTACCTCTCACTTCACCCCAAAACACAATTCCCCGTCGTCAATTTAGAAAATAGACAGACTATACCTCAACGAATCCTTCCTAAACCAACACACACAACACCTACGATCAATCACGAAATCTAAAACCTTTCCGTATCATATTCCCATCCCTTACCTTCCAACCCGTGGAGAAATTCGGAAGCCGAACGGCTCATCCTTCAACTAAACCATGAAATCACAAACTAACCAATAACTATAACAACATGTTCAAATCGGACGTGCTGGACGAAATTGGAACTGCGCTGAACAATCTTATAGACGAGAACCAAAATGGCAGTACAACTCGAAAATTAAAAAATGATATCAAACCTAATAGGAAAACCAAATAGTAAATTTAACAACACTCCCAGTAAACATCACATACCCAACACCAACAAAATACAACGGTTCTGCTCTCATCCAATACGACTCATACATCAGCTTTACTCCTCCCCTGGGCATCAGTATTTCTCATTCCTTCCAGACAGGTTTCTTGCTCGCGCTCGTGGTGTTACCTATCCAAATATATAGCATTGAGACCTACACCAATCACCATCCTATAGGACGCCCACAACATATGTTTCTGCTCGCTCAACGGACTCCCAAAAAATGGCACATGACATTTGAGTGAAGATAAATCATCTCAATCGCTCAGGATTTAAAATATATTTTGCCTGGGTAAAAACCCATGATGGATGTCCGGGAAATGAAGAAGCTGACAGGTGGGCTAAAGCTGCCGCAAAAAAATGAGGGAATAGAAATAAGTTTTGAGTTGGTACCTAAATCATACACTACCAAAAAAAGGTAAGGAAATACTGTGAAACTGTGGGAGGACAAATGGGAAACTACAACTAAGGGTTTCCATGTGAAATCATTTTTCCCTACCATAATCTCACGATTGCGATCAAATTTCAAGATAACCGCTAAACTAACACGGGTATTAAGCGGACATGGAAACAATAAAGCCTACTTACACCGCTTTAACATCATAGACGAACCGTCATGCACATGTGGTGCATCTTCGCAAGATTGGAATCATCTAATTTATGATTGCTCGAAGTTCGCATACGCACGCGTGATAATGGAAAGAGACGTCGTGCTACAAGAAAACACTGCATGGCAGGTGCCGATACACCTACTGATGACATCAAGATTCTGCAAGCATTTGGAAAAATTTATTGATAACATGGACTTTAATTTTGGCTGACTGTAGAAAAATCTGGTTTCTGCCACCTGAAATAACGTTAAATTTGCTTTAAGGAAACCTATATACATTGCAGAATTGATGAATAAATTCTGCCCGAAAAATTTAGAAAAAACAAAAATGTTGACATTTGGAATTTTTTTTAAAATGTTGAATTGGTAACTGTTATTAACTACAAACTCCTGGAGCTTTGCAAATTCCCTCAAAAGTTTTCCATTCAATTAGCTTCCAGCGGCGGTATACCTAACTTTTTAGATTGCGCTTCTGGAAGGCCCAAAAATTCTGCATTTTACAATTAATTAAGGTTTTTAGTTGAGATCAAAATCATTTTACAATATACACTCCAGAAATTTCTACTTCGTCAAACAAAGCCATCTCTTCTCTCTTTGACCTATCCGTTGTAAGCTCATATCTGCAAAGTTTGCGAAGGCTGGTGCAGCAAATGGGGAATCAAAGCGAACGAAAGCAAATGCTAGCATTAAGAAAGTCACCGTGCCCTCCATTCCGACTAATTAATTAAGGTTTTTAGGTGAGATGAAAAAAAGTTAATGGCATGAGAGGGATTCGAACTCACGACCTTCGGCTAGGTACGCCGCTGCTCTACCACCTGAGCTATCGTGACCTCGATCCACTCGGACATCAACTCCCCATCTAAACGTTTTCCCTCCTTTTGCCATTTTCCAAATGTCGTGTAATCGCCATTTCAATTGTCGTCGAGAATCCAAACCGATTACACGACATTTGGAAAACGGCAAAAGGAGGGAAAACGTTGTGATGGGGAGTTGATGTCCGAGTGGATCGAGGTCACGATAGCTCAGGTGGTAGAGCAGCGGCGTATCTAGCCGAAGGTCGTGGGTTCGAATCCCTCTCGTGCCATTAACTTTTTTTGATCTCAACTAAAAACCTTAATTAATTGTAAAGTATTAATTGGTCAAGCTGACCACGAAATTAGTGAATTTAAGAAATTCTGCATTTTGTTGAAAAAAATTGGTATCGATGAAGAGGGTGCACGTTCAATTTTTCCAGGAAATCCGTTTAGCTCTTGAGTTTCGTGTCAGTTCTTTAATGTTCAATTCAATCAGTTTGCTTTATGTTATCAGCTGACATCTACCTCAGGTTGGTGATTTAAATTATGTCCTTGTTTCCTAATGCACATCTTTCTGATAAGCATTTCATTACGGTTACTGCAACGGTAATGCTACTGTTGCAAGAAGAGAATAGCTCGTTTTCCACATTGAGACGTTCCAGCAGATCGCACTTTCCAACGACTTCATCAGAGGCTGAGGGAAACTGGTTCTTTCACTCGAAGAACGAGGGAAGACAATCAGTGAATTGATGTAGATAAGAAAATTTTGTATTCTGTTAATCGTGATCCCGAAAACAGTACACATGCGTTTTGTATATACCTTGGTGTTTTACAATGGAGAGTTTGGGACACCTTACGTCGGGAAGGACGAAGGAATTGTACCCCCTACCATTTTACGAGGATGATTGATGTAGATGAGGAAAAAGTCAACTCACTGCTGGTAGTCATTTCGTTCCAAACTTTGCACCCTCGTAAAATGGTAAGGGTACAATCCTTACATTACACATCCATATGCATCATACGCATACATATACATACACATACATACACGCACATACACATTTTACTTTTTTTTATTTATTAACAATTATATTAAGTCGAAGTTCATTGAATTAATAAAGATTATCGCATCTTGATGAAATTAGGTTTGCCCTCATTTGCTCCTGTAGATCGTAGTCAATCACCAGGTGTTCCCAAGTTTGGGGTACCGCAGCATTACAGTAACAGGTGTCATTCTCCGTGAGGCTGAAGCGTTTCGGGTATACAGAATTTTTCCGCTTAAGACCTGAGTAATTTTATAAGAGTGAAGGGTAGAAGTAAGTTATAAGGGTGAAGACTAAATCCTGGAGACCTTTGATGTTATCAAAAAAGTTTTTGGTAAGGCTTCGTGTTGTTGCTTCCGACCGTAGGAGGTCCCAAATTCCGTGGCTCTTCTTTTTCGCTTACGATCTGATTAAGGATCTAGGTACGTCCTGGAATTCCACAGGTAGGGATTTATCTGCTGCCGCTTCTTTCGCGTATCGGTCTGCTTCTTCATTACCTTCTTGATTAGTGTGAGCTTTTACCCAACGTTATTTTATTTTCCATCTTCTTTCTTGTAGGTTTCTGCCCAAGGTTTTGGTTTTTTCAACAACTGGTAGATGGTTTCGACGATCGCCGAGCTGTGCTATTGCCACTTTTCTATCTGAACAAATTCGCAGCGTTTTTATTTGCGGTTTCCTGGATAGTTCTTCTTCCATGGCCCATTCCATTGTTTTACATAATGTGTGGTGATTAGTGACCGTTAATCGATAATTATTCAGAAATCGTGAGATGCGGTCTGGTGTGATGTAGGTCTCAGAAAAGCATTTTCTTTATCGTACCAACGTTTCGATCTTTATTGAGATCATCTTCAGGGCTCAAAGTGTTTGTTTTCTGCGTAATTGTGCCATTCTTGCGTATCGTGTTGAGAGTTCCAGTGAGATATTGCTGTTTTATGTTTATATGTATTGGATTTTGAAGGGGTGGGGAAGGAAGTCGGTATAGACAAGACATAATGCAAGCAACTCGGCAGGGAAAAAGAAAGAATGAGAGAGAGAGAGAGAGAGAGAGAGAGAGAGGAGAGAGAGAGAGAGAGAGAGAAAGAGAGAAAGCGAAAGAGAGATAAAGGATAAAGAGAGAGAGTACGAGGGAGTGAGTAAGTGGGAGAGTAATACGAATCGACAAGAACCGCTTAGACTATACGAATTTACCCAGATTTCTTTGGTTCTATGAATACCTCCCCTCCCTTCACTGTTAAAAAATGAAATATTAGATCAGGATACATTTTTATGTTAAGTATAATATATCTACTGCTTAAAAATGAGAGAAAAAGAGGATGAATCAATTAAGAAAATGTTCATCCTATGTAGTGCGAATACCCCCTGCAACGATTAGTTGGATTACGAGAAAGCACTGAATTGAGAAAAGCTGGGCACCCCTCGTGATGTAACAATGCCAAACGAGAAAAATATTTTAGCACGTCACAGAATGCATCTTGTTTGTACATATGGCAATAGTATACATGGACGTCTGTATTAAATGTGGGCCGGTGGGCGTTGCCAAGCAATTGAAATCGTATTTAAAAAAAACAACAAAATTTTAAGCTTGAGAAAAAACTCAATACACACAATACAATATTATATATTTACTTATATTGTATTATACTTTATATAATATTCTGGCCACTCCGTATGTCAAACATTGATGTTTTTAAGTTCGATACTTTACCTTTAGCCCTGGGTGTCGGTGTGCCCCTCCAAATTTTTGAAAGAATTTTTTACTTTCGGAAGATTGAATAAAATTGAAGTTTTTCGGGTTTTTTTCTTTTCGATAGATACGACGAGAAGTTTTGAAAGGAAATCGAGTGAAAGGCCGGGCTGAAGATCCTATGGCAGAGATGAGTGGAACAATCAACAAACCTGCCCCGGGCGAACATGCGTGAACCGCCATTTTGCTTTACACCGTCGAACCGAGACCGGTCCGACTTCTGACTCTCTTAAACCCGGTTCTAGCTCATTTCATCCAATTTCAAGATGCCTTTTCACTTGTTCAACGTTCTCCAGGGTCACAGCAAAGACGTGAGGGCCGTCTCGGTCACTCCGGAAGGTTCGATCTTATCCGGTAGCCGGGACCTCCTCGCCAAACTCTGGACCCCCGCCGGGACGTAAGTGACTCGACTGTTTTTCACCCTTGATAACTTTTCCCACGTCAAATAACTTTTTGTCCTCCAACTATTTCCTTTTCGATATTTAAACCGACGTCCGTCTCATTTCATCGCCGGCCTTTTTTCATTTGTACTTTAAACGATTGAAAAAGAAATCCCAATGTCCTCAATTGACATCCAGTCGTTCAAACACCGATTTATAACCTTCTCCCTACGCAAAAAAAATATATCAGGTCTAGATTTGGAAAAAAATAGGATTGAAATGAGGCGTGGCCCTTCGCCAGATCGCTGATCGGTGTATTGTTTCAAAATCTGTTTTATTTTTACATATTTTCGGGGTGTGGCACAGTTTCACCCAAGACAAAAGTGATGGTAGGGTGATCTCACCCCTGGGCTCTTGATCGGTCTACAAATTACTAGGACTTTTTCTGTTAGGTCTCTTGCAGATGAGGCGACAAGTCGAACGGCTGTGTCAAGGGGTGTAACGTGGTAGCAAAATGTTGCCCCAACCCCCGCCTAGACACGAGTGCCGCTCACGTTCTCATCCCCACTTGTTGACTCGACTCAAAAGGCTCTGCTCGTCATTCATCCTTCGCACCAGTCGCATAGTTGAGTCAGCTGAGTTCACCATGGAAAGCGTTGCAATTGCATGTTTCGATGTGGAGTAGTTCATTGAAGATATTCGTATTAGTTCTGTGATATGGGACATGATATGTGAGGAGTATAGTGATAAAATTCAAAGTAGCGAAGCTTGGAGGAAAGTAGCACAACAGTAAAGGCCCGTTTCCCAATTTTATAACAAGGATAAACCCACACTTTTCTTTACTACTGGGTTTCCTCCTTTCTTGCTTCCTCAGGTTCTAACATCATAGTGACTTCCCATTGGGAAAGGTTGATTTAACAAGTTCCCTAGTGTGAAACGAGCAAAGAAAGAGTCTTCACACGGCAGTAAACTAGTTGAGAGTCAACCGGGCAACTTAGTTGAATCAACGCAACCACGTTGTCTGAAAGAGGTCTTAATATACCTCCACCTGACTCGACTGCTCTCGGTGTCAGAGATTGAGACGAAGGTCAGGTCAGGAATTTATGTGGTGGCAGTCGTGTACAGCAAGAAATGTGGGTGTTTTTGAAGACATCCTTAGTGAAATAGTTAAATTTTACCCCCCCCCCCCCCCCCGAGACTCATTTGTGATTATTACGACGACAACCAATTTATACACTAAATTATTATTACACGAATTACCTAAAATAAAATGTTTCAATATTTATGATTTCATTTAAAGAAGCATTTCCTTAAGTGACTGGAGAGAGATATTAGCGGTCGAATGGAGTGGAGGCACATTAACGGAAAAGGTCCAATTACTCAAATGTATAACAGGAAAGCTACATCGCTTGTTTGTAGTGGTGTCATACAGTCTCCTTTCGCAGATGACAACCTGCAAACATGTCCTGCTAAAATTACAGTGGGGTTTGACAAGTTGTCAAATCAATCTTTTTTTTTTTTTTTTTTTTTTTTTTTTTTTTTTTTTTTTTTTTGGTCCAAATATCCAAACGGAAAATAAAAAAACGAATGGGAATTCATTGGATTATTCTTGAACATATTAATGGAATTTATTTATTTTTTTGTGCATCAATTAAAATGTGAACATGTACATACAGTATTTTCGGGTTGAATGAAACTTTTTTCGCTTTAATTGAAACTTATTGCTTTTTAATTGGAACTTCTTTCTTTTGTATTGAAACGTTTTTCCTTTTAAATGAAATGCCTGGTTGGTGCAGTTTAAAAGTTTAAAAGATACTACTAACCAGGCTAATATAGATGTGGACCAATACCACAGGTATGAGGCATGCGAAGAGATGCATAGAAGGACCATTCGCAAAATTTACAAAAGAATTACTGGAAGGCAATCGCAACCGAATGAGGATTCTGGTTGGACTCCGACAGGGCACTGCCACTTAAGAAAGCACATGCACCAGATAGGAGTACAGACAGAAGAAACACTGTGCCGATACTGCCAGGTAGAGGAGGGGACTGCAGAACACATTTTGTTTCTGTGAAGGTCTATGTATGTGGAGGTTCTTGCAACTAGGAAAAAAAAAAAAAAACCACAAGCAAGATCCTACACCAAAGAACCGCTGTGGAGGCTGGCTAATAACCTGAAGCTGGCCAGTGAGTTATAAATAACAGGAGAGCACAATAGATCTATTCAGGTCGAGGTGCAGTAGGCCTTGTGAATGCCTTTTTTTATCCCTATCCCTATCCCGCCCGGACGTAAGTGACTCGACTGTTTTTCACCCTTGATAATTTTTCCCACGTCAAATAACTTTTTGTCCTCCAACTATTTCCTTTTCGATATTTAAACCGACGTCCGTCTCATTTCATCCCCAATCTGTTTTCATTTGCTCTTTTTTACTCTTGACAATGTCATTGATATAAATATTGAACATTAGAGGAGAGGTGGCTGCTCTGAGGCACCTCAGAAGCACATTAATGGGCTTAGACATGATACCATTTAAGGATATGGCCTGTACCCAATCATTAAATAATCAATCAGCTAATGCAAGAAATGGCCACTTATACCCAGCCCCTCCAGTTTGAGAAAATTAGACTATGGTCCACCGTATGGCCCTAAAAACATGCATGAAGATTGCCTCTACTTATTTTGAAAAACATCAAATATATCCTGCTGAAAAAACATTAAATAAATTACTGTTGAATTGTTGTTTACAAACCCATGTTGTTCCTCGGCAATAATATTTGTAAATATCGGTTTAATTTTTTTATAATTTATTTTTTCATTCATTTTGAGGGATGATTGAAAACTTGTTTGTATACCTATAAATTATTATTTCATTTCTATTGCCATTCTTGAAAAATGATACTAGAAAATTAGTTTTCATTGCACAGGAAATACTGCTTTCAAGGAAGTATTAAATAGATGATAAAAAGGTTTAGCTAAATCGAATCAATTTATTTAGAATAATAATTGATGGAATTCCATCAGACCCTGTGTTATTATTTTTAAATGGCTTAATTAGTTTAATATATGAGCTAATGGAATATTTATTGAACTTAAACTTAGTTTTTTCGTAGTTAAATTCCAGTTGGGTATTCCTAGCATTCAGAGAGTAGAGTGACCCAAAATGCTGAGTAAAGCAATCTATTGTGGTTGGCCAAACCGTTGATCCATTCAAATGCATAATTGGGGGCAAGTTTATATTTCTATTTTCATTTATGTATGCCTAAAGGTTTTTCGGATTATGTTGTATGCCGTCTGTATTGAGTTAAAATCAGTGTAAGATGTGTTTTTGAGTTTTCTGCGTTGAGAGCACAAAGTAGAAAATTATGAATAGTCGTTAGGCGATTTTGTAAATTTATATTGCTTACAAGTCAATTTTTTGTTTATCACCATTGACTTTATTTCAGTATAAAGTGCTTAGGGAATTTAGGTTTTGAGAAAAATTTTGTAGGGACATACGGTGTAACAGTGGAGTCAAGATCTCATAAAAAAATACGATGGACTAATTTATATCGGTTTAGTTGAACGAATTTTACCAATCGATATTGTCAAATGATTTATCAAGCCATCATAATTAATGTTTTTAAAATCAAATTAGTAGTAATTTAAGGTTATTGAGTCCACTGACAGGCTCTCATTTAATTCAAACATTGTTGTCCAAGTATTAAAATTGTTCAATTAGTCCATGCATATATCATTGCCTCTTGTGCAATTATAAATAGCAAGAGTTCGGAATGTAACCAGCTTCTGACCATTTGTTGATGAGTAGATGAAAGCATACAAAATGTAACTTCCCTATTCCATTCATGACTAAATTGTTCTAAAATTGTATTTTATTTTTATATACATATAGTATTGTGTAACTCACTAAAGTGCTGTTACAACAGCAATTTTTTTTACCCTATGCATATGGTGTTTGCTTTAAATTCAAGTCGTTTATTAATTTCAGAGATGGGTTTGTACACTCGGCGACATACAAAGGACACGAAGAGTACATTACATGTGTTCAGAGTATTCCACCTTCAGAAGCTTTTCCAAGAGGCCTTTATGTTACTGGTGGCTATGACAGAAAAATCCTAATCTTTAACCCAGAAACTGAAGAAGTGATTATAACGCTTGAAGGACACACAAGTGCAGGTACATAGATAACATTTTTCAATTTGATTTAGATACTTTTATATAAAATAAAATCATTGTTTATGAGGTAGAGTAATAACTCTTATTCTGGTGGCAATAAATTTCACTTCAAATATATACCTTTTCCCATCAAAATAACCCTTTTTAAATTTAAATTAATTTTTTTTTATTTCAAATTAACCCTTCCTTTAAAACATTAAAAAACTTAAGAATTGGTATGAAATGTAAAGAAAATGCGTGTAAGGTGAAATTCCTGTACATTTAAGGATTTTATTAAAAATATAAAATAATTGGGCTTTTAAAAACAATATAAAAAGATATTGCAATTAAAATTGAAAATTATGTTTTCAAATTAAGTATAAACCAAGTAATTCTTCTATTATTATAAAAAAAATTAAAATAAGTGGTCCCTTAGAAGAGGACAGGAAGAAAAAATAAAATACCACATGAAAATTAATTACAGTTAGAATTAAAGAGAAAAATGCACCAGGCATTGTCAAATCCACAAGTCTTCCTTGAATAATATGCAATGTTCATAAGGCCATTAAAAGTTAAAAAGGATCAATTTAATGTTAAAAAGGATTAATTTGAAGTTTAAAAGTGTTATTCAATGTTACAAAGGGTTAATTTAATGTTAAAAGGGTTACTTTGAAATTAAAATGGGTTCATTTGAGGTTAAAAACGGGTTAGGTAATACGTAATTACAAATGGATAATTTGAAGTTAAAAAGATTCTCATTCTCTCTCATTTTGTATTTCACCCTTTTTCTTACCCTCTCTTTCTCCATATCTCTCTCTCACTCTTTCTTGCTCTTTGTCTATATTACTCTCACTCACTCTTGTCTATTTTCTGTCTATATTTTTCTTGCTCTCTACTTTCTTTCTCTATTTCACTCTTCTTTTCCTCTATCATTTTTTTCTCTTTCTGTCTGTACCTCTTTCTTTCCATACCTTTATTTTTCTTTTAATTTAATGTTTAAAAGGTTTCATTTGAAGAAAAAAAAAGAAGGTTTATTTGAAGTTAAAAAGGGTTAATTAGATGGAAAAAAATTATAATAGTCCTTGTATCTAACATTTATATTCTAAAACATTTTAATGTAAAATGTAAATTTATATTATTAAACATAACTTTAGAACATCCATGGGGGGGGGGGGGTAGAATCCAAATCCAGTAAAAAAAACGTAGTTCATTTTAATCATATTTCCATAAGCCCATGTTTTATAATGATTTTTTTTTACATTTCAGTTACCAGTATTTTTGCCGTGAAAAATGATTGCATCCTCACATCGTCCAGCGATGGCACGGCGAAAATGTGGAATATCTACGCAAGGGTTGCCAAAGTCACGTTCACGGGGCACGACCTTCCTGTTTGGTCTGTGATCTATCTAACTGCCGGTTTCATCGTCACAGGATGTGCAGACAAGATTGTAAGAGTCTTCAAAAAAGATGGAACGATTAGCTGTAGTCTTGAAGGTACTAAACCTTTAAAAAAATGTCATGTTAAACAATTGTATGGTAAAAAGATGAGTGTTTTTATATATTTATTGTAAAAATACAAAAACATTCGATTTACACTTGTAGATCTATGAATTTTTACAAGTACTACATAAAACAACAAACACCAATGAAATATTACTAGTTATATATAACAATTAGCTTTCAATTACTTAAAGCTTACTAAAATGATCAAAGAGTTAGGTCAGATGATTTTAATCTGTCCCAAGCATACAACATCAAATAGCACCTCACTCTAATACAACATTTAACATTCATTTTTTTTCCTATGATCCTCTTGATCTGCCTATCCTTGCTGATTTTGACAGACTGTTTTGGCATTTCACCGATCTGCCTGAAAAAACAAACCAACCACTGAAAAGAAAAATATCGAAACACAGCCAACAGATAAACCAGCATTAATAGGCAAATCATATCAAGCAGGGATCATCAAACTATATAAAAAATATTTTGCAGTTAAGACAAAAAATTAAACAAATAACAATTAAATATAAACCTTTAACTCATTTGATGCGTGAGCCTGAACTGCTGTGGTCCCTCTGGGGCGACATTTTTTTTCTTTCATAAATGAGTATAATAATTATAAAACCCATAAAATTATTCTTATAATTTTATCTTTTGTCTAAATTAGAATTTTTGGGTGGGTCTCAGACGACATTTAAGTTTTGGAACCGACACAGTGCGCACCTAGTATCCAATTTTCGTAAAACCCTTTTTGTTTTTAATGGTAATTATTATTTCGCTTTTAGTTCTTCGTTCTTCGAAGCACTGGGAACAATTTTAATTTTTCACCAGTGCCACATCCTGGTCAGTAGAAGCAGGTTCTCACTTTCCTACTTCGCCAGCTCTTTTGCTGAAATTTACAATTTTGTTCTTTTTGTCCCCCAGATGTTGAAGGTTAGGGGAGTTGGAAAATGGCCAGTAGGGCTCTATGGTCCAAGAAGGTTAGGGTTCCCTAAATACCAGGTATTCTAGTATGTCGTTGCAAGTTGTTTAGCTTCTTCTTATCCAATTGGGAATGATTATTGACCAAGAAGAAGCTATCCATGAGAAGTTTCTGGAAGAGGTGAAACGTTTTGTACCATTTTTACCTTCTTCATTTCACAGCTCTTTCTAGTAAGACTTCGTTTTCAAAAATTAGCAAAAACTAATTTAAAAAATTCGCAAACCCTGAAAGCTAGAAATGCATTTTTATACCATTAAATATTAAATGATTTACGATTTAAATGAAAAGAACTACAAATTTATAACTTAAAAAAAAAAAAGAATTTTTTTTAGAAAACCTGGAAAATCAAATATTTTAGCATTTAACAATGTATTTTGTAACCTTATTTAATGGAAAAATCATCAAATCTTACATTTAAAAAGAAAAAAAGTTGATTAAAAAAAAAAATCAGCCAATTTTCTCTGGTGCCAATGGAGCTAAACCAGAATGGTGCATATCGTTTGTAAGCTGGCTTCACACTGAATCCAAAAACTGGTTCAAAGTGGGAAGAAATAGTAACAGCAGTGTCTGAACAATGACTCTCATGCACCATGGCAGTATTGACATTTAAACCTGTAACACCCTGTATATGTTGATATTTACCAAATTAGTTTTAAATGTCTAATTATCTAGAAAGAGATTATAAAATGATATATTTAGTCGATATCGAAAAGTTGTATTTTGTGTTTTATAATCAGGCCTTGACATCATTGTGCACTCATTTTTATTTTTAGTATAAAATTTGATTAATTATTACATTTAATTGAATTTTGATTTACTTTATCTAGGCCATACTGACTGTGTACGGGCTTTGGCACCACTCAATGATTCTGTTCAATTCCTTTCGTGTGGAAATGATGGCATTGTTAGACGATGGAGTGCATACAATGATGGTTGCTTACAGGCCTACCATGGTCATAGTAATTCAATATATGCGTATGTATTGGTGAAAACATATTTTATTTCACATTTGTTTAAGCAATATAAATAATTAAATTATTATAGTTAGAAGTGTTGAATTGGCTGTGTGTATTAGTTCTGGGAATACAATTTAATTTTTTTTAAAATTGCAATAGTTTTTAAGACAATTTCTTTAAAGTTTTAATTATTATATGCATAGTATTTTTTTTTTTTTTTTTTAACAGGATTGTTACATCCTTGGATAATACGTTTTTTGTAACTGCTGGTGAAGACAGTCAGCTAATTTTATGGACAAATATTTTTGCTGAGCCAAATATTGAACAGATTGAACACCCGTCTCAAACCATTTGGGATGTTGCAATTTTACCAAACAACGACATCGTGACAGGTGCTAGGTAATAAGAATTGACATGAGATTAAAACCTTGAATTTTTCAAAACTTTTTTTTTTCCAGTGATGGAAATATTCGTATATTTTCTCAAGACGATGAACGAATGGCAAGCGTTGAAGTGATGGCGGCCTTCGTCAAAGAATGCGAGGAGGCCAAAAATGTAGCCAATTTAAATGAAACTACAAGAATGTAAGGAAACAATTTTGCAAAATGTTTTGCGCTTGATTTTTTATTTTTTATTATTAAACATTTCAATTGGCCATAGTCGTGAAGAAAAAATTTATGAAACCATTCTAGGGACACCAGGGAGTCTAATGAAGTCAAAGGTGATGGAGGGGCTAAACAGACTTCTGATTTTGTTTTCTTTGTCGATGTTGAAGATGGCAAGCCGCCTCTTAAACTATACTACAACAAAGGAGATGACGAATACGAGTCGGCTAAGAAATTCATAGACCAAAACAACCTTTCATACGCTTATCTTCAACAAATTGTCGATTTTATCCGGCAAAACACACCACAGACTTCAACAAAACCAAGTGAACCGTATATTGACCCGTTTACAGGTAAGAGTTACTGCTATAAAACCATTATAAATGCAATAAATTAAATTAAATTAAAACCGATTGAAATCACCTTAAATACTGGAATTTAAATGATTTATTAGGAAAACTGCTAAATGGAGAAAATTTAATATAAGACCATTAAGCATTGACAGTTTCCATTTACTCATTCTCAGTATTTCTCAGGTTCCCTAACCTAAATTCAATTTTACAAAACACAAAAACAGAGTAAAATCGAATTTGTTAAATTATTAATCTTAAATCTCATAACAATTAAAACCTAGTATGTTATTGAATAATTGTGAATTGAATTATGGATGTTAATTTTTTTTTCTCATTGACTTGTAATAAGTCTTAAAAAAGATGACCAGGTTGGTGGGTCGTGGATTTGAACCAAACTTTATTTTGGTGATTTTACACTCCAAAATATCAGACACATATACGCCACTTTTTGTGAATAGGTTCTGATTTCGCCCAAAAAAATTTGAATTTTGAAAATTTTCCATTTTTTAATATTTTTATTTCGCCTTTCTGCATACTCATATCACCTATGTGAATATATATTTTAGAGCATTTTTTTAATGTAAATTGACCAATTTTTATGAAATTTTCAGAGATTGTGCAGGTTGGTTTCTCGATGGTCCCCTATAAATTTCATCGTAATCGTGTCAACGGTATTGCTTGTGCATGTGCAAACGTAAAATCTCGTATACAGCTCTATCTCTGAAACCATTTCACAGATTTTTATGAAATTTGCAGGGACTGTGCAAGTTGGTTTCCAGATAGTCCCCTATAAATTTTATACCAATCGGTTTAACATATGCACATGCACAAACATAAAATCATGTACACAGCTATATCTTTGAAACCATTTGTCAGATTCTTATTCAATTTTCAGGGGTTATGCAGGTTGCTTTCTAGATGATCGCCTATGAATTTTATTCCAAACGGAATAACATACGCGCATGTGAGGAAGCTATACTGCCTGTCCACTTGGCAGAAGTTTTTAATAATATATGAGCTGCCATATATTATTATATAATATTGAGTAAACAATAGATATTGCTGGTTTGCCTAACCTTACCTTACCCATTTACTACAGACATTTTTTCATAATGGTGTGCCCAAAAATCTACAAAAAGCAAATTTTTTTAAGCAAAATTAAGGGTCATTTATGTCCTAATTAAATTTCAAAACTCAAAAAAAAATCTTTATTTCTTTACTAATCAGCAGTAACAAACTTGTTAATATTATGCGAATATGTGTGTATGTCAGAGTATAGTGTCCTAAAATAAATTTATTTTTTTAGGTGGGTCAAGATACATTCCAGGTGGAGACAGAGACGATCAATCTACTGGGAAAGATTCTAGTAACAGCAGTGTTGAGCCTTGTGAGTTTTTTCATTTGTCAAATATTCTTAGAGTATTCCTTCATCATTTGCTTTATATTTATATTGTTATGTACTGCTATAACATTATTGTTTCTCTAATTTTTACCAATAGAGTATGCATGTGAAATATAATTTTTTTTAAATATAAAGGATGATGATATTTCTTTATATTAAGTATTGTATTTAGATTTAACCAGTAAAAAAAAATTTTCTATCATGTCTTACTTTATTCATTGATGTGTTTGATGGGTTGTTAATGTATATTGTTTTTACTAATATTGAAAATTAATATGTTCCCTGGTTACAGTATCAAAGAGTATTTTCCCCCAAAAAGAGTATGTCCTTTTTGAAGTCGCCAATATTCCAAAAATCCAAGGTTTGTTTTATTATGTAAACTCGATTATTTGGTTATTGTTATTACTGTTGCATTTACTTTCAGATAAAATACTTGAACTGTGTCCCAAAACAGCTACTGGGGAAATTGATTCAGACAGGATAAACACAATTATCACGCTTGGGACGACTAATGTTAAACCTTCCTCTGACGCTCTGCATATTTTGATGGACATGATGCACTGGCCAGAAGGTAGTAAAGTTATAAATATTACCTTAACCGGAGGGGGGATAAACATTAACATTTACTGTCGATGTGTTCTAATTAAAAATTCACTAATTTCGTGGTCCGCTTGGCCAATTAATATATTACAAATAATTAAAAATGGCACAAAGGAGGGAAAACTCAAAATGTGGGGTTGAGATAGGAAGTTGATGTCCGAGTGGATCGAGGTCACGATAGCTCAAGTGGTAGAGCAGCAGCATATCTAGCAGAAGATCGTGGGTTCGAATCCCGCTCGTGCCATTGACTTTTTTATCCCAATTAAAAACCTTAATTAATTCTAATTAAAAAATTACACTCTAGGCGCATACGTACTCCTCACTAACACTTTTTCCACGAATTTCTCATTTTGTTGAAACTCTTCTTCACTCTAAGATTAGGTTTGCAGTCTGTTCTGTCTTTACTTAACCGTTGTGGCCTTCCTTTACCATTTCAGTCTGGATTGATCCCCTCAATGTAGGAAAGTCATTTTCCCTCCTTGATTTACTCAATAATCAAGTGAATTCAATGACTTCATTACGGTCTTTCAGAGTGCATGCATTGACCCTTTGCACAAAAAAAAAAAAAAAAAAAAAAAAAAAAAAAAAAAAAATCACTGCTGCTTAGATTTATTGCCACCATGCAGTGTTTAAATCCTAGATTCACCCATTCTTAAGTATATTCTTTCCTACTTCACTCAAGTAAGGAATGGAGCACTAATATTCCACCATCGGCCCTTTCACATACATGCTAATAAATACATTCACTCTCAATATACATAAAATGGATCTCATAATCAGATACCTTTCAGTATTATACACTATAAAACAGCCCTGTTTCCGCCAAAAATTGTTACTTTATTCCATCACTTTTGCCGTGCTCTAGCACAATTTTCGTATCAGGTGATATTCCTACTAGCTCCTATAAGGAACCAAGGAATTGCTGTTTAAAGTGTTAGATGTATCAACCACTTTTTTACTGGCAAATAATCTGGATTTCAGTATAGTCTGTAAGAAAGAACTAATTCAATTATCTGCCAAGCTTTCGGCCTATTTTGAGGTCATCATTAGAGCAAAACATTTTTTAAGATATCTACAAATTTACATAATTAAGTTAATTAATGGTTTTAAATTTCTTTGAAAATGGCCAAGAACACTATTGCAATCAACGTAAGATCATGTTCAAAGAAATTTGATGACCATTTATTAAAAAAATAATTATGTAAATTTGAAAACATCTTTCAACAGATCGTTACTGCCATCGATCTGGAAAGACGCACTAAACCCTTCTCCATATGGAGACATAATTCCAGAATAACGCACCTCTTCTAGAAAAACCCCGTTTTCAAGCTTGTAAGGTATTAGGAGTATTTTTAGAATTGAATCGGTGTTATAAGCCTTTAGTATTGCTTGGCAACATAACTGTGAAGACTGTTTTTCGATCTGATATTTTTTTAAAGATTTTCGAAAAAAAAATTGCCATATCTTGAGTGAGATTCTTTAAAAATCAGTGCCGTAACGAACGTGTTAAGATCGTTCAAAAGCTTGGCAGATAACAATTAAATTTGTTTCTTCATCCAGACCATAACTAGATCCAGATTATTCGTGAGTCAAGGAATGGTATGCCAGATACATATGCAGACTTTTGCCCCAAGTAAGTGTGTAGAATGGTGTTGTTTTCAGGCACAGCCCAATTTTTTTGTCACCTGTTTTTCTATCTGACTGCATATTCTCACTTTCTTAGCATGTTTTCCACAATTTACACAATGGATTTGTCCTTTTTGTCCCCCAGATGATGGAAGGTAGGGTAATAGGAGTAAGAGGACAAAGGACTCTGGTCGGGAAGGTTAAGATATTACCTATACACCAGGTTATTAAAACTTATCACAACTAGTTAAAAGTCATTCAGTTTCTGGATGAGGTGAAAGGTCGACCTTTTGTACCATTTTAACAACTTACAATATGCTCCAAATAACAATGTTAACCTTCTTTTAAATTTGACAGCTCCTTGTAAGATTCCATTTTTAAAAATTGGCAAAAATTCATATTTAAAAAATTTAGCAAATTGGAAAATAGACATAGATTTTTATAGTTAGCATTATTTATCATTATAACCTAATTTATTTAAAAATTAAACTAGTTACAATTAAACGAAGAGAAAAATAGCTGAAGAGAACACAAAATTGTTAAACTTTTGAAGTTTTTGTCTTTACAAGCCTTGAAATCACCAATTCTTAATCATATTTAATGTAAAAATGGTAAAAATATGATTAAAAAATAATCAAATCTTATCTTTAGAAAGCAAAAGATTTATTAAACAAAAAATTCACAGCCAATTTTCTCAGGCGCCAATGGAGCTATACATTGGCTATGGAATAAAATGTTACATGTTGTCAGAAAGCAGGTTTCACACTGAATCTAAAACTTTCAAAGTGGGAATTCATAAAGGTGGGGAAAAATAGTAACCAATAGAAAATGCTCTGTGCGATAAGTGACTTGGTTCTCAAATGAGGCTTGCCGGGGATAGGAAAGACAAGTCAAATCATATGAGACCTTTTATTTCCTATAATTTTTCTACATCTCTTTTTGTGTGTAAAAACCCTTAGCTTTGTTTTCATCACGTTTTTTATTTTTATTTTTGTAAAAGGCTCTTGTCGTAAAGTAAATAATTTTTTTATTCTGTGCAAAACAAACACTAAGGTAATTAATTAGTTATATAATGATATAGCTTTCGATTTCAGGAAATGTATTTCCCGTTCTGGACATAACTCGTCTGGCTATAAGAAAAGATGTTATAAACCATAAATTGTGTTCAAATGAATTCGGGCCAAAGTTAATGAAGAACATACTGGGATATATGGCTCCGTCGAGTTTACCAGTAAATAAAATGCTTGCTATAAGGGTTATATGCAATATGATGTCTCAACCCTCAGGTGAAGAATTGTACGCAAAAAATAAAGATGACATATTTAGCCTTTTGAGGACATCTGTAATCGAAGGAACCAATTTTAACAAGCCATTGCAGGTAAGTTAATTTATTTCATTATTTAAGGAAAAAAATTATCCATGTGAAATTTCAGGTTGCTGCTGCAACTTTACTGTTAAACTCAAGTGTTTACTTCACCAAGAAGAACGACCCTAATGAAATTAGAGATTGTTTGGTTTATGTGCAAGATCTGTTGAATTTTTTCAAAGACGAAGAGGCAATATTCAGAGCCGTCGTGTCGTTAGGCACGTTGTACTGCTATAGCAAAGATTCGTTGATATCGTCAATGACGTTGAACTTCTTGACATCCCAGATTTCTCAGTCTAAAGTAGAAAAGGTGGTAACGGCATGTAAGTATATCTTGAACCAATGGGAATCTGTAAATAAGAACGTTTAAAAAGTCATTGTGTTTTATTCTTATTTGAAAAGTTATACCAATAATTTATTAATAAACTCAAATGGAAATAACGTGTGATAACACATTTATATTAAAACTATTTCCAGAGAATTAGAATATTCACAATTAATCTGAATCTCTTGAGTATAATTATAAACGATAAAAAATGGCTAACTTTTTTTACTGCCATTTAAAATCAAACCAATTTTTTTGGATTGTAAAAGTTCACCAAAACCAAAAAGAAAAAAAAATGTTAAAACTAAATGTTGCTGTGGTGTGCCCTTAAAAATTAGGTCACATGCTGTGAAATCTTGTGTTTCCTATAGCTGTATAAGATTTCAAAAAGCAAGAACTGATAGCATTTTAATATCTATCAATATCTTAATGTACAAAGTTATTTTTTAAGGTCAAATTGTGATATTAATTGTAACTTTTATAAGAGACGTATTTATTTTAATAAACAATAAATACACATTTGTTTGTGAGTTTTCTTGCCCTTTTATTTTCTGTTGTATTGTATAATGTAATGTCAACAAATTTTTATTCTTTCCTAAAATGTAACAAATGAAAAGTAGTATTTATTAAAATAAATTAATTTTAGTGTTTTAACAACCGATAAAAAAAATATGTAAACGTGTGTGTGGTGATTAGTGACTGTTAATCGATAATTATTCAGAAATCGTGAGATGCGTTCTGGTGTGATGTAGGTTTCAGAAATACATTTTCTTTATCGTACCAATGTTTCGATCTTTATTGAGATCATCTTCAGAGCTCAAAGTAAGGCATTCTCAACACGACACGCAAGAATGGCCCAATTACACAGAAAACAAACACTTTGAGCCCTGAAGATGATCTCAATAAAGATCGAAACGGCACGATAAAGAAAATGTTTTTCTGAAACCTACATCACACCAGGCCTCATCACACGATTTCTGACTAATTAAAGATATAAACATTTCTACTTAATCAAATGGAGGCACAACAGCGAGGGTTGTTACTATGCTAATTATCTTTCAGATGTGCCCTTGAGCTTTCACAGAAGAAGATATCATTAGATTAGAGGAGTCTGCCGGCCTCTTTACTACCTGCGCACTACGACCAATCTTCGCCATTCCGTAGAGCTAGGCCTTAAGGCTTTTTACCTGTTCCCAAAGCTTTTTTAATGGCTCCTATAACCTTCAGGTCTTTCCTCTCCTAGGAGTGTTGGTCTCAGCCTGTGCCTTCTCACCTACAGAAGGCAAATTCTGCTGTTTCTTCTTCTTCCTGGAAATATCTGTACAGGTTTCTGCTACTCTGAGTGTATACATATGTCTCCCGGGTCTGCGGTCCTACTGTAATAATAGTTACAATTAATTAAGGTTTTTAGTCAAGATAAAAAAGTCAATGACACGAGCGGAATTCGAACCCACGATCTTCGGCTAGATACGCCACTGCTCTACCACTTGAGCTATCGTGACCTTGATCCGCTCGGACATTAACTTCCCATCTCAACCGCACCTTTTGAATTTTCTCTTTTTTTTTGCCATTTTTCAAATGTGTAATCGAGGTCACGATAGCTCAAGTGGTAGAGCAGCGGCGTATCTAGCCGAAGATCGTGGGTTCGAATCCCGCTCGTGCCATTGACTTTTTTATCTCGACTAAAAACCTTAATTAATTGTAATATATTAATTGGTCAAGCGGACCACGAAATTAGTGAATGTAATAATAGTATTAACATGTCCTAGGTTTAGTAGCTTGTTAGTTCCTGCGATAGCTGTTTGATGAACTTTTTTTGCATGCATTTGTCTAGGGCTTCACTGCAATTGAATAGAGGACTTGTTTTAATCCATTATCTGGTTTTAGGTAGTTTAGTATGCCCCAAAAAGGTTCACGGCCAATAGGTGTCTTCATTGAACTTTCCTAGGACAATTTATCAGGCTCTTCATTGTCTTTATGCCCTGGTACCCAGATAAGGGGAATTTTGTTCTTTTCCTCCCTACTTCTTGTCCAGTGTTACTATCCACACAAAACTAAAGAAAATATCAAGAAGTCATCAATACAGCCAATCTGGATGCGATTGAACTGTGGTGTGAGGTTCTACCAAGTGTTCCATTATCAAAAGAAAACACTTCAAAATTCCTCAAATCATTGCGCATACTTCCTAATTCCAATCTAACCTTGCTATCCACACTAAACTTCAGATCCCATTTGTCCTCGAACATTAAGAAGTAGATGCAGCAAATCTGGACAGAATTAAACTGTTTGGTTCAACCTAGCGTTCCAACCTCCAAAGAATTTGGTCTCTGGAATAATTGCCCACCCTCCCTAATTCATGTCCAACCTTATTATCCACTCAAAACTAAAGGTTCCATTTATCCTCAAATATCAAGAAGTCATTAATACTGCAATCTGGACAAGATTGAACTGTGGGGTTCTACCAAGTGTTCCTTAATGAAAAGAATCCACTTCAAAAACCTTCAAACCATGCCCATACTCCCTAATTTCTGTCCAACCTTGCTATCCACACAAAATTTCAGATCCCATTTATCCTCAAGAAGAAGTTGAAGCAGCCTACATAATATGCTGGTCCCTCATGCTAACTCCCAGCCTTTCATCCCGAACCCTTCCTGGCAAACTTGCACGCCTTAAAGCACTAGTGGCCCCACAATTTCATCACTATTGACCTTGTGAATAGTGCTGTGTTAGGAGTGTAATCAATTAATTACTTATCCACTTTTATAATATAAAATAAGCATTTTGATTTACACACCAATTTAATCCATTTCTAAAAAAAGTGGTCTAATTGACCATTTTAATTATTTCAATTAATTATTCTTTTTATCTAAGGTCTTGGTTTAGTTGGAAAAGTTAGTGTCATGAGCGTGATTTGAACCCATGACCTTCGGCTCAATACTCTGTTGCTCTAACCACTTGAGCTATCATGACTTCGATCCACTTGGACACCAACTCCTCATCTTAACCTAGAACTGCCAGACTTTTACCTCTTGTTGCCATATTTTCAAATGTCGTGTAATCAGGATTCGATTCTCAGTGGGCGACTTATATGAAGTGGCCATGGGGAGCTGTTAATGAAGTGATTCTTCTTTACTAATTATATATTAATCCATTTATGTTTAGTGGTCTAATTGACCATATAAATTATTTCAATTAATTATTCTTTTTATGTAAGGTCTTTGTTTAGATGGAAAAGTTAGTGTCACGAGCGGGATTCGAACTTCGATCCCCTCGGACACCAACTCCTCATCTCAACCTACAATCTTTCGAATTTTTCAAATGTGTAATCAGAAATCAATTCTCAGCGAATTATGAAGTGTATCCAGAGACTGTTAGTGAAGTGATTACTTCTGTCCTTATTATATTAATCAATCTATGTTTAGTGGTCTAATTGACCATATAAATTATTTCTATTAATTATACTTTTTATTAAAGTCTTGATTGAGATGAAAAAGTTATTGTCACAAGCGGGATTCGAACCCACCACCTTTGGCTCAATAGGCCACTGCTCTAACTACTTGTCACCAACTCCTCATCTCACCGTACAACCTTACAAATTTTTCCCTCTTTTCACCATTTTTGAAATGTGTAATCAGGATTTAATTCTCAGCGACTTATGAAGTGAATGCAGGGACTGTTATTGAAGTGATTACTTCTTTTCTTATTATATTAATCCATTTATGTTTAGTGGTCTAATTGACCATATTAATTATTTCAATTAATTATTCTTTTTATGTAAGGTATTGGTTGAGATAAGGAGTTGGTGTCCGAGTGGATCGAAGTCTAGGCACTAACTTTTTCATCAGAACCCAGACATTACATAAAAAGAATGATTAACTGAACTAATTTAATGTTTAAGAAAATATGTAATTTACTTTCTTCACAGAAAATTTGAATATTGAATACTTAAAAAACTAAATAGACAATGATTTAAGAATCTAGTGAATATTCACTATAGATATAAAAAGAAAACATAAAAAAACATTCTCGACGACAATTTTTACTGTGTATACTTTAAGAAAGCAAGGTAATTATGTATAGTTCGTTTTAATGGGAAAAATAATAATAATTGTCCGAGTCCAATGTCTTCGACGAACGTAAACCGGTGGGAGTTGCTCATGGGCTCAGTTGGGCTCGTATCGTCCCGGTTGAGTTTAGTTGTATGTCGTGCTCGAAATGAGCCGGTACTCTCCTTTACCGGAGTGGGGTGATCAAGGTCGGTAATTTTAGAGGAATAAGGATCAGCTTGAAAATGGAGATGGAGTACAAAGGTACGAAAAATATTTTCAACTTTTTACGCACACGCCGCCGTTTTCAACGATGACGACGCGGCTACGCTTCTTCAGCTAGCTGCACCGCGAACCTTTAACTACACGCATTATAAAGGTGTTATATTTAAAACAAAAATTAGAATTTTAACCAATTTGGTCTGCAAAAAGATCATCTCAATTATTTTTTTTTTTTTAAATATCCTGATTTATTTAACCAATGTCTACTATGGTTTGATAGACCTGATGTCTGTCTTTGTTTATCTTTTAAGACTTGTGTATTTTTCACTGTAAACGAACCGTTAAATGTCTAAATATACATTTGGCTAATAGCTTACAAAGAAAGAATAGAATTGAAAAGAGTTTTTTTTTAAATTTAAATGCTCTATACGAATTGAGTTCGACAAATTTTTTTGAACGTTTTTGCCTTTTCTGCAACGCATGCACGCCTTTTTCCGATTAAAAATTTCTTAATTTAAAGAAATCTTAAAAGCTTTCGCTTATTCTGAAGGCCATAAGTTGATCTTTCTTTATCTTGAGTTCTATGGCTTCATTTTGACAATGCTAATCATCATAGACATGAGTGCGGTGTGCATGAACAAAAGATGCTAACTTTTCCTCTGCCCACTGTAAGACGTTTAGTGTTCTTGCCTTAATCCAATTGATAGAAATAGGCTTTATACAACTCCTTATCGAGCTGTTGTTTCTAAAGCTCAAAGTCAATAGCCATGTCATTTAAACAAACAGGCCAAAATAGGAAAAAAAAACAACCCTCCATTCGCGAAACAATGCGTGAGCTTATAATAGCCGATACCCGGCCTGGGGAACGCGGCACTTTATTACAAATACTATTTTTTAAGTCGTAATGTAATGTACATTGTGGATAGTTTTAGGGTCATGGTCAACCCTCTCGTTCTTTGTTATGCTCCTTTCCTTTTGGCAATTTATTCCCAATAATTCATTTTTCTGACGCTGCAGCCTAGTTGTATTATTGCCTCTCCACCTCACAGCTTCGTCAGATAAGGATAAAAATTAATATACACATAATAAAAATATATTCATTTATCATGGTAGCCTGGTTAGCGTACATACTGCCCCGGAGTATTAGATACTCCTCGGAGTGATCAGGGAAGAAGCTTCTCCATTCACACTAATAAATTTCATTCACATTGTCAGAGAGTAATAGTATTCCTCGTGATTACCGAGGCATGTAGTCCCTCTATTCACGCTAATAAATTACATTCAAACTGCGCCAGAATACCCCATATTCCTTGGAATAATTAGGCATAAGCCCCTTCATTTACGCTAATAAATTACATTCCCACTGCCCCAGAGTACTCGATATTCCTCGGGTGTTTAGAGATGTAGTGTCTCCATCTACGTTAATAATTAAATTCACTAATTTCGTGGTCCGCTTGACCAATTAATATATTACAATTAATTAAGGTTTTTAGTTGAGATTAAAAAGTCAATGGTACGAGCGGGATTCGAACCCACGATCTTCGGCTAGATACGCCGCTGCTCTACCACTTCAGCTATCGTGACCTCGATCCACTCGGACACTAACTTCCCATCTCAACCCCACCTTTTTTTTTTTGAATGGCAAAAAGGAGGGAAAATTCAAATCCCGCTCGTACCATTGACTTTTTTATCTCAACTAAAAACCTTAATTAATGTTAATAATTAACATCCACAATGACCCCAAGTAAGGGCGTTGACACACGGAGCGGTTTTGACCGAAGCGTTTAGTTACAGCCTTACAGACCATTCTCCCCATGCAGTACTTTTTTTTTCTTTGATGAACATTCCATGGAACTGGCTACAAAGTGAAATCTCACAGTTATATACACACTACGTCACATTCGGTTTTCTTTTCTCTATGAAGTTTTGAAAAATAGTCTTTAAAAATAAATATTTAAGTTGATTTATATTTAGATGGGATCTCGGGTAGCCGAATAAGCGTGTCAGACTCTCGGCTCAGATCCTGCAGTTGTAGGTTCGATTCCAGTTTCGCTCCCCCCCCCAAAAAAAAAAATCAATCCTCTGATCAATAAAAGTAAAGTAATTCCTGTTCAGAGTCAAGGAAGGTTTAAACTACTTTTCATTTTTCATACTATAATTTAAAAGGCACAGAGCTGGGATTTGAACGAGGTCCCCTTCCTCCTCCAGATAATATTCAAAACAAAATCTTTATTAAACTAGTTACTACCATGTATCACCGACAGTCATACGCATACTTTGTACCCGTAAAGCTGTAGAAATAATTTAATTATAGGGTGATGTACTTTCAAGTAGTTGTAAAGTTAAAAGAGGCCCTGGAGGAAGGTGAGTTCGTTTTAAAAACGGTTGTGTTACTGTACAGCACCGTACAATTTGTAAATACTTAGATTCCCCCCCCCCCATTTTTAGTGGTGGTTAAGTATCAATATGTAAAGCTCTAGGTGTCAGGAAGTTGAGAATTAGCTAAAATTCTATTATTTATTAATCTTATTGAACTGGCATTGGCCCATTCCCCATGGAGTTCCCATGGATGAAGAGATACTTCTGGTGTCTCTGTTGTACTATCGTTGGAAGAAGAGAAGGGAGAAAAAACACAGGAGAATGTGGGTTCATCCAATTGTCGAGAAGAGAAGCGAAAGAGGGCATTTTAAGAATTTTTCAGAGATGAGGAAATACCCTGAAGAATGTTTTAACTTTACCAGGATGTAAATGGGCAGTTTTGACGAGTTACATAGTAAAATAAAATGCCGCATTACAAATTTTTTTCTCCACGTCTATTTTTTGCATCTTAAAAGTAAATAAGACTGACAAACAAACAACCCTTCAAGAAAGTGGGGTACGAACAGCTCAAATAAACGCCGCGTGTGTCAGGGCTGATGCAATACTTGGGTACCACTCACCGCCTGGCGTTTTCAAAACCGACGCGTTGGGTCGTCCCCTTATATGCAAAAATGAACGACGCACCGCCTCGATTTTTCTCACGGTAAACGCTTCGGTCAAAATCGCTCCGTGTGTCACCGCCAATCGATATTCTTCCAGATTATTGGGAAAGAAGCCTCTTTCATTCACGCTAATAAATAACATTGACATATCATCAGGATCTTTCCCAGTATTTTACCGAAATGGGGAAAAGTCGGATGGGTTGGACCTAGTAGGTTTTCTATGTTTAGGAATCATCCTTATGGAAGATATGGGCTATGTGTAAACTTGAAGAGGCAGGTTATTAAGGTTATGACTTTTCTAGGTAATTGATGGGAGTGATTAGTTCGTAACATGGTCTTTTCTTTTCGGGAAGTCATCTTTTAGGTAACAATTTTGATTCGGTTAATTTGTAAATTTATTAAATATTCAATTTTTGAATGAGGCAAATACGCCGAACAAATTGAAAAGTCTGTATTTTTCGAGCTAAGCGTGACAAGATCTCGAGGAAATATATTTTTGTTGAATATCGTAGGATTGATAATTGTTTGCTCAATAAAGAATTCGTGACCTGGTTAGTTTCAGTACTTTATCGGCATTCAGCGTATATAAAAGTACCCTTAGCCTCTTAATGAATATCTTAGGCTTTTTCCACCTTGCCAAGACTTCTTTCCTTTTTTTCCTTAGACAAATTAAAACGGATGATCTTACATCTGCGTTTTCTACCAAAAATAAACATTATATGCGTAATGTTATTCATTGGGTTTCATGTTTCAAGCCATTTGGGCCGGTCGTTGTTCCCCCGGATTTGCATAAACAATACCGGGTGGATCGTGTTGTACAGTATTGTTTTCGTCCTCAAGTCTTGTCAAAAGTGTTACACTTTTTGCGCGAGTATGCTCAAAACGTCGTATTGTATAAGAAAACTTTTCAGAAAAAGGTCGCCTCACCCTGCTAATAGCCCCGACATCTCATCACATGGCTCAATATTCCTCGGGTTAATTAAGGCTAAGTCTCTTCGCTAATAAATTGAATTTCCACTGCGTTTCAGAGTATTCGATATTCTCTTGTAATTAGGGATGGAGCCTCTCCATTCAGTCCCTATAACATTCTTAAATCCTCTAGATTATTTAGGAATAAGCCCCTATTATTCACGTTAATAAATAACATTGCCATAGCCGCACAAAACTCGATATTCCTAGGGTAAAAGGGAAGAAGTTTCTCCATTCGCGCTAATAAATTACATCCACATATTGGGCATCATTCACACTGTCCTAAGTAATTGACATTCAAAGAATACCCTTTCATTGACGCTAATAAATAACAATGACATTCCCCCAGAATACTCGAAATTCCTTGGAGTAAAAAGGAAAGAAGTTTCTCCATTCACGGTAATAAATTACATCAACATATTAGACATCATTCACACTGTCCTAAGTAATTGAAATTCAAAGAATACCCTTTCATTGAAGCTAATAAATAACAATGACATTGCCCCAGAATACTCGAAATTCCTTGGAGTAAAAAGGAAAAAAGTTTCTCCATTCACGCTAATAAATTACATCAACATATTAGACATCATTCACACTGTCCTAAGTAATTGAAATTCAAAGAATACCCTTTCATTGAAGCTAATAAATAACAATGACATTTCCCCAGAATACTCGAAATTCCTTGGAGTAAAAAGGAAAGAAGTTTCTCCATTCACGCTAATAAATTACATCAACGTATTAGACATCATTCACACTGTCCTAAGTAATTGAAATTCAAAGAATACCCTTTCATTGTCGCTAATAAATAACAATGAGGAATGAATGAAAGAAGTTTCTCCATTCACGCTAATAAATTACATCCACTGTTTACTGTCATATTACATCGTTCGCACTGTCATAAGCAATCGATAAAACTTCGTATTATTTAAAAGATAATGTTCAGAAAAAGGTATACGTTTCACCCTGCTTATCGAACCGACATCGCAGCTCATGACTCGAGTATTTTTCCAGTCTACGGTGGATTTTCGTTTATTGAAAAGGACGAACATTAGAAACCACAGGAGTGATAATGAAATCTTAGGTCAAATACAT